GAATACTGACGCCACTCCTAGAACGGGAAGAGGTCAACCCCGAATCGAGGGACAAGGATGGAAGGACACCACTTTCATACGCCGCCCAGAGTCGTCGCAGTGGAAAAGTAAAGCTGCTTCTACGGCAGCAAGAGGTCAACGCCGAATCACGAGACAAGGATGGAAGAACACCACTTTCATACGCCGCCCAGAGTTATGGTAGTGGAATAGTGGAACTGCTTCTGCAGCAGGAAGTGGTCAATGCCGAATCACGAGACCATGATGGCAGGACCCCACTCTCATACGCCGCTGAATATAGGGATGAGGATGTGATGAAGCTATTTCTAGAACGGGAAGAGGTCGACCCTGAATCGCGCGACTATGATGGCGAGACCCCACTCTCATACGCGGTTGAATATGGAGAGGAAGATGTGGTGAAACTGCTTCTAGAACGGGAGTTAAACCCAAAATCGCAAGACAATCTAGGTAAGACACCACTATTTCACGGTCCCAAAAACAAATTCACGGAGATAGGGAAGATGCTTCGGAACATAGAGAGGTTAATTTCCGTTCACTAGTCCTGCTTGAAGATGAGGAAGTTTCCCTACTTTTTCAGGAATGGCTAGATACCATGCCCGCCACCTCATGCCACAATTCCAGACCCCCGAGTCCCTCCTCGTGTAAAGTCGGCCTGGAGTCAGAGCCACTAACGCAACATAAAGATCCCGCAACAACCACCTGCAGCTCTAATCTTGACCCTCCCACCTCACCTCCGATAAGTCCTGCTCTGTCGGCCTCCTTGGCCATTGGATCCCTTGAGCCCTCACCCCAGCCACAGCGGCGGCGGTTTTCCCAGGCTTTCAAAAACAGCCCTTCGCTTTCTACCCCGTTAAAAAAGAAAAAGATTTCTTAGTTCCCCCTTCCTCCTTACACCCATTGCGACACCTATTTGGTTCCCACATCTTATCTGGTACGATTAGGGCCCCAGTCCCATAGTGGTACAGGTTGTTCTACCAACAGCTCAGCTAGCCTAGTTTAGTTTTGTACAGTTCCTAGCCCCTATATTTCCGACATCCCGCACAGAGAACACTTGTCATGCTGCTGGCGGTGCTTGTATTGGTATAAAATATTTCTTTGACAACTAAGAATTTTCCTGTCACTCTCGAGTTTCTATTCTCTGATTTTCTTATGCTTTATTTGGCTTTCCTGACAAGGGTCTATATAGAATCACTCAAAACCAATCTCTTCCCTCTGTCTTTGTTTCTTTTTCCCATCTTTCACCCGGGTCTGCCCAAGTTTATCTGCTTTTCCCCCCTTCCATTTTCTATCCCTCAATATATCTCCTGCTAGATTTCTCTATCTCTATCGATATATATTTAGTATTAGGTGCTCCCACAATATAGGCAAGCGGCGTCCATTTATGGCATCAGTGAATGTGGGCAGTATATGGTACTGTGCACTTCTAAAAGAATGGTAATAATTTAGGATAAGAAAAACTAGGCGAGTTCGTTAGGAAAGGGTTTTTTTTGGTTTCTCCATGAGCATAATATCATGAGATGTCATCCTGTAGGCATGCAGGCATCATACGAAGCGCGGTGATTAGGCGGAGTGTGATAGTTTGGTTATTTCACAACCCGCCGTTAAGGTCGATGAACCACAGGCAATGGGTGATGCGGCCCGTCCCTCAAATCTTGCCTATCGACACCCTGAGCCAGGGACACCCGCCAAGTCCTGAGGGCCAAGTGTTCCCCGGTTTTTTCAACCCCCCCCCAGACCTCCTTTAATACGGTCTCTTTTCTCCTCGTTGGGTGGTGTAAGTGCATCCTGAATCAGGAATCACGTTGTGTGCCTTTTTGCGCGATTAGACAGACCGTGATAGTGACCTTTCACCATCATATTCATTCCCTCCACATCACCTAATATCACTCGAATGCAGATACATATCTAGAAGGGCAAGCTTGCACCCCGCACGATACCACATAATGATACAGAGCACTAACTACAAAACTAACAGGCACCGTTAGTAACCCCGGTACACAAACACTCCACACGCCAGGGGGGCTGGGAGGACCTGCTTATTGTGCTGGAACAGAATCCAAGACACATTTAAGCACAATAAACCCCCCGAAATATCCAGGATCCAGCCTTCTCCCGCCCCAAGCTTCTACATCTTGAAGACTTAAACCCAGGCATTATAAGGAAATACAATTGACCGGCATTTCGTTCCCTTTTTTTTTGTTTGACACTACCGACATTCCGAAAGTCACGATTTCCCCATATCATACCATATAAACAGTACACCCCGAGACAGTGTTCCGGTGTTTCATAGAGGGCACGAAAGGATGCCGGTCCACACATACTCACGAGGGCATTCATCGCGTTTTTTAGTGGCTTGCACATACAAAATTCGAATGTACAGTACCTAGCAGGGAGTGTTCAGGATGTCTGGTTTCACGGGACTAATGCTACCAATCCCTCAAGTAAGCATTAATCCTCACTTCCGAAATACAGTGGAGTAGATCCAATCCCTTCTTTCCCCTTCTCCTCTTTTTCCCTTTTGCCCTTCGGTTTTCCTTGCCGCATCCTTTCGGATTTCTTCTTTCGTCTTTAGTTATGTTGACAGCCCTGTGTCGCGGTACAGTACGTACAGTTACTACCGTGAGTTTTCCCAGCATTGCGATATCCAATTCACCCTTACGTAAATCCGGTTCCGGGCAAGGCCATTTGACCGTTTCTTGCCGTCGCCTAGGGCACCAAACAACACTCTTCTATCTAATTCGGGCGCCCCCCGACCATCAGTATCTCTCATCCGTAATCCGCAGCATGGCACTATGATGCCAGTTTACGATACCGCAAAACTCAACACTACCCTACCCGGGCACCCCGCACCCCCACAATCCCGACCCGCCAACCCCGGGCGAACACCAAAACACCCGCACCAAATTCTCTCAAAGAAACCCGAAAACCGAGGGACCACCTCTTACCCACCACTCTGCAGAAATTTCCAAACCCTAACCTACAGACCAGCAAGAAATCAACCCCTCCCCCCCCCAAAAAAAAAACAATAAGGCAGGATTGAGACCCAGCAGCGAACCTCCCCCATCATTCAACCTCCAAAACCCGCAGGAGTAAGTAATATTTACCAATGCCAATCAAAAGAAAGGGGGGGTATGTGCGTGGGTAAAAAAAAATAAAAAAACCCCCGGTATGATAGTAACCTGATTTTTTTTGATTTTTCCAGAAACCAAATTCCAAGTTGACAAAGAGCGAAAAAAACATAAACAGGATTTAGATGGACCAGCTTGACACGACAACTCTACCGTTTCGAGATTCAAGATTTTTCCGAGGGCGCCTTTCAGTGTGCTTGGCACGTTTTCTTCTGTATCATCATACGGTAAGTAGATGAAAATATATATATATATAACTTGACATCCACGAACCAGACAACAACCAAAAAAACAAAAAAACAAAAGAGAGAGAGAGAACGGAAGAGATGAAACGAAACCGGTACCATATCATATCATGTGATTAAACGAAGTATGGCGGTGGCACAAAACGAGAACCCAACCCGCACCCAAACAACCGTTAAAATTCCCACACCACCACACGTATCATACGATACTGGGTATGATAAGTCACGATATGATAGGTTCCCCAGCAAAAAAAAAAAACACCCGCAAGAGCTAGGACGGGAAAACCCGAAAAAACTTCCTCCGGACAGGACAGGACAGCGCCGCACAACACAACACAACACCCAACCCCAACTTTCTCGCCAGCAAATAGAAAAATCGACAAATAGAAAAATCGATTAGGATATTCCATACCATACGATCAACAATCTTACGTACAAAGCACAACATGCACGCACATCCGCACCGGGGGGAAATGGGAAGGGAAGGGAAGGGGGGGGGGAAAGTTCCCCCATACTCTCACGGTCCCACCCAACCAAACGCAAAACCCGTTCAATGCTGGATGGATAACGTGCGAATCGAACGATAACTGTAAGGAGGGCGGCCCGGAACGGCACGGTACCTACAGTACAGTACCAAACCCCAGTACAAGCCAAATAAAAAATAAAAAATAGCGGATGAGCATGTGTCGTCGTCCCAGTAAGGAAGTTCCATCAACGGAACGAAAAAGAAAAAAAAAACGATCCGGATTCGCTGCCTTTAGGATCTACCGTAATTCCTGCAGGTCATGAAAAGTCTCCGCAGTCGCCATCACCCTATCTGCTAGTGTGTGTGTGTGTGTGTGTGGTGGCGTGCTCCCGGGAGATACTCGTACAAGCACTGTACTGTACCACGTTTACGAGTTGATGTCTGGGTGGCCGGCGCACTCCTCGCTCACTCCACTCCCGGCAGTGCATATGGACTGTGCCACGTAGCACGAGTGGAAATCATAGCCAGGGACTTTTTCCCTTTTTTCCCGCGGACAATTTACTCATACGCTGTACCGTAGTTTAAAGGGGGAGAGTGGGGTTGGGAGTGTCGGGCGGCGGTGGACGAGGGGCGGTGGGCGAGGGGCGCAGGGTGCTCTTAGCGGTTACTGGGCGTGTGATGGCGGTGATATGACGATGACAAAATCTAGCCCCCACCACCGCTGCAATAAAAAAGGCCCGGCGAGGACGCCCGAAATACCCCACAATCACAACAACTCACTCGCACATACATCACCTTATCGAACCCCCCCCCCCCCCCAAACGCACCGCACCCTTATCACCGGACCATGACCCCGATAAGCGATTCCACACCGCACAGCAAGACCCGCCTCACAAAGCATCATCAGCACCCACGGCGCCACTACGGTACAGTGCGAGTACAACACTCGACCCAACAACTTTTACCATCCCGCCAAGGATCAGACAAGCTACCCAACCGTGCACCCCTCCCCAGCACATCCACCCATCCACTCAGCTCCTCGGCACAAAAGGATACCCTCACAATCGTTTATTCGCTTCGTAATGTAACACACCGTAGCAATCGATCCAACCGCCATGCACAAATGCCTAAAGGTAAAAAAAACCCCAACCAATAAAGAATAAAAAAATAGAGTTCTTTTCCCGTTTCAACCCAACCCAAGGAATAAATATCGAAAATTGAAAATACCGGCCACAAGATTAATGAAAACATTAGACCCAAGCCCCCGGTTATCAAAAGGGGGACAAAGCCGTCGCAGAAATTACCAACACCCGAGAATGCAAGGCAGATGGGAATATCCACAACTGGAAAGATGAGAAAAATCTAACACTAATCACGCAATCCATCTACAAATTTGAAAGTTTAGCTGCGTTGCCGTTGACCTCCAGAGTGGGGCTTGACGATCCGGAATGATCACCGGCGGGGTTGTACATCTTGGAGCGGATGTAGTTGTCGAGTTCCATGTCGTTGAGCCACTGCAAGGTTTTGTTCTTGTCGAGGTTCTCCTTCTGAGCAGCACGAATGACGGAGCGAGCGACGGCGACAGAGATCGACCTGATTCGGTCAAGGTTGGGGTAGAGCCAGCCCTTCTCACGCTCCTCATCCGTGAGAGAATCGGCCAACCCGACAGCAGATGCGTAGACCATCTCCTGGGTGACGTGCACAGCCTCACACAAGACAGTGCCAAGTCCGATACCAGGGAACACGTACATGTTGTTTCCTGTAAGATTGTAAGAAACCAGACCTTGCGTATTCCAGATGGTGAACTCTTACCTTGACCGGGAGTATAGACCCTGCCATCGGCTTCAAACTCTGGGAAGGGCGATCCAGAGGCGAAGATGACCTTGTTGTTGGTCCATTGCATCGCCTGTTCATAGGTGCACTCCGACTTGCTGGAAGGATTCGAGAGAGGGAAGATGATTGGCCTGTCGTTATAGCTTGCCATCTTGCGGATTACTGGCTCTTTGAACGCTCCACCAATAGTAGAGAGCCCCATGAGAGCAGTGGGTTTGACATAATCCACAACCTCTTCAAGCGACTTGAATTGCTGACCATTGTTATCGTCTCGAGAGAAATATACTTTATGTTCTTGTAAAGTATCACCGCGGTCATTGGCTACCATTCCCTAGTGAAACCAAATCAGTATCCGTTAGATTCATGACACGGGGCACAACATACCTTTGAATCCACGAGCCAGAACATCTTTCTAGCATCAGACTCCGGAATGCCACTCTTGATAAAGAGCTCACAAATCTGCTTGGCAACACCAACAGCTGCGGAACCGGCACCAAAGAAAACCAATTTCTGGTCCTTGAAGGGGATGCCGGTGCTTTTGAGGGCATTGATGGTGCCTCCAAGCACGACGGCGCCAGTTCCCTGGATATCATCGTTGAAGCAAGTGTATGTGTTGCGGTATCGCTCTAGAGATGGGAAAGGATTTTTAAAGTCCTCAAATTGGACGACAAGGCTGAGAACGTTAGTCGGATTCAATTACAAGCAGAAAACGAGAAACATACCCAGGCCATTTATCGTTAAGGGCAATCATCATCTCGTCAAGAAACTCCAACTGCTCTGCCTCGCTAACGCGATGCATCTTAGCACCCAAATACAACGGATCATTGAGATTGGCGGCATTCTCGGTTCCAACGTCGATAGTGATGGGAAGAGTACGATCGGGCTGGATACCGGCGCACCCGACGTAGAGGGCAAGCTTTCCTACGGGAATACCCATCCCGTTGACCCCGAGATCGCCAAGCCCCAAAATACGCGAGCCATCAGTGACAACAGCAATGTCGACTTTGTCTGCAGTCCAGTTGTCAAGGATTCCACGGAGCTTACCGCGGTCGCCGTGGGACAAATATAGCCCTGTAAGGTGTCAGAAAACAGCCAAGAAACTAGCTAGCAGCAACCCCAGACAGAGCCCACCGGGAGCCCAAGCACGATAAAACTAGCGCCGCAAGCTAGCGGGCGAAACCGGAGGACAGGAGTGAAAAAAAATATGGGAAATCCAAAACTCTCACTAACCTTCGGGCTGGGTGTAAATATGCGACCATTTTACACATGCTTCGCCAACTACCGGAGTGTACACAAGAGGGGTGATTTCCTGAATTCTCCGAATGAACTGTCAGCATTCGCGGCTTTCCCGGGAAAATTGCCAATGCAGACTACCCTAGGCAACAGTATTCCCGGGCTCAACAAAAATAATAATACGGATTCTCTTTTCTGGGGCAGCCCAAGCGAGGAAGAGTGGGTGTGGGAAATCAAAAGAAAGGAAGAAAAAAACGCTGACCTTCATGTTATCCATCAACAAGCGATAGAAAAGGTTTACATTGGTATTGCGCAAATTGGACAAATACATGTACTTGTCGATAGGATTTGACTTTTGAGCGATCTGTTCGAGACCTAATACGCAGACCACAGTAAGCAAACATAGAGCAACCATGCAATACTCGGTTCATTCGGCAACGCGGCGGGAGTTGGGACACGGCAGTAGAACAAGGGTGAAACAACACATCGGGGCTGAAATTTGAACCCCCGGTAAAACACAGGGATTCTTCACACGATGCGTATCACAAGACAAAAAAAAGACTTTGAAAAGAGAAGCTCCAGAAAAAAAGCAGTTCGCAGCCCGATAACCATAACGGAGAAATAACTCACATCGAGCTTTCTGAAGCTCATAGCTCTCGACATGAGGCGGGAGAAGCCCACGGACCTTAAGCTGAGCACGAAGGTCCTCGTTGTAAGAGGTGTCGAAATCGGTTGGAGAGTGTGAACGGGAGTGAGTGGCAGAGTGGACTGCGGAAGAAGCTTGGTGATCCCCACTGCAACAAACACAGTCGTCAGCGAGAAAGCTCTCAACCGAGGATGCAATTGAAGGAATAGAAGCTATACTTTTGACTAGGAGTACCAGATCTCAAGAAAGGAGTCACCAGAGTAGGAGGGGCCATGCTCAGAGATTGTTCGAAATTAGCGTCCTGACCAAGGAAGTTCGTGTTCGCCCTTGCGAGATTCGGTGGAAGCTGGGAGAAAGAAGGTGAAGTTGCAGGGCTGGCTGTCGACGGTAAATGTGCCGAAGAAGAAGACGAGGAGGATGAGAACTTGGCGGAAGCTGATGATGATGATGGGGATGAGGGCAGATAGTGCTTGTAGGAGGCTAAAGCGGTCGCGGTGTTTTGAGATGTCTCGGGTTTAGGTTTGTGGTTAAAGCGTTGCTTACGTTGATCAGAAAAGTTACGGGAGATGGTTGATCGGGAAGGGCAGAGGAAGGATCGTGGAAGGGAACGGGTGGACGACAGCATGACTATATATATATGGGTGAAGTAGCGTAAACGACGAATAATAAATCAATAATGCCGCAGACGCCGGATCAAATATTTCGGGAGGTGGAAAGGCGAGTGGAGGGGAAGGGGGAGGGATGTTGGAAAGGGGGGGGGGGTGGGATTTCGGGGGGGGAGGGGATAGGTTAACTTGTAACTAATGGGGGAGGAGGTCCTCACTATCCCTAGACGGTAAAAAATAAATGTGGAACTTGTCTCTCCTGCCAGTGTTGTTACTCGAGCACTGGTATGTTGCGTATGGTTGCTGTTGTCTCTCACTCGTAACCACATACTTGTACCCTCCACAAGCCAGCGTGATCCGCATCATACGGTATTCGTATTCGAACAGTACGGTGCAGCATTGCAGCAACGAACTACTTGTACTAGTACTCGTACTGTAACAAAAAGTATGAGAATGGGGGGATGTGCAATGCACGGCACGTGTGTGCTAGTGGGCGAGGTCTTCCCGACTCTCCCAAACCTGCTGCAACCCCAGATTCGATACCCACCGGTATCATGCCAAGCTACCGCAGTTGTCGAAGCAGGCAGATACCGTGATTGCCGGTACAGGTTCTGGTATTAAGTTGCTCCTGACCCAAAACTGAGCGGGTGGCGAAGAAAAAAAAAAAGACAACAACATAGGGACAGCACGCTGTTACCTGACCACCACACGAGCGCTTTAGGCGCTGGAAAGGTCAGGGGAAGTTTGTGTGATTACTGGCAGGGTGGGATGGGGTTTTGGTACGGTACAGTGTCATACCCGTACGTCCATACTGACCCTTAATCGAGAGGAAGGTCAAAGGATCCGTACTGGGGGAGGGAAAAGGCTTCTGGAAATCAGACGTCGGGTTATTTCGGAATATTGCAGCGTTTGCTCGTCCCGAGTTTTACAGGGTTCTCGAAAAAAAAAAAGTCTGAGGCTGACCCTCGAGTTTCCGGTCAGTGGCCACATCCCGAATCCCAGGACCCAGGGCATATTAAATTTCAAGAGGAAACAATCCCCTTATGATCGGTATCACAGATACGGGCATTGTACGAGTGCAGTGCTTACCGTACCGGTAGGTGGTGGAGTACCGTACCCGAACATAGGTGTTAAAACACCGGTACGGTACTCGAGTATATGGTAAAGAACCCGAGGGCCAATACGAAATATACCCACCCGGTTTCGGGGTAGTTCTTGCCCGCCTATCTCTGTGCATTTGAGCACTAAAAAATGGCCTCTCTCTCCCAACAGTCTCTCCCGGAATATCGATTTGCAATTGGCGATACTGTGCTTGTGCCAGGTACTCGTACTTGTATGTCGTAGACGCCACACTCCTTCCGGCTCCCTCCACTTATTTTGCTTGTGAGACCGCCCCGGAGGAGGCCAACAGGGGCAGGCCCAGCTCACAGCTTCTGTGCCTTAGAGTGATGAATTCATGCTGCCGGGCATAACAATTAAGGAAGCTCGCTTTCAGGATTGTTGTTTTGAGTCTTTTTTTTTTCCCCTTCCTTTTTTTTCTGCCGCTCCCCCTCATTGCCTGGGGCATCAGCATCTTTACCCATTTCGTCTACCGTACCGTATTTCAATCTTTTTTCTTCCGTTCTTTCTTTCAGCTTCCGCCGCACAAACCATAAATTGACTATTGCTCCGAAAAAAGGTCCCAAAAAAGTTCTTCCGTGTACCATGCCGCATTGGAACGGAAGAGACGTGCACCCGGGCGTTTCACAGTTGCCATCGCCCATCAGCGTTGCCCCCCTACTGCACAAGCTTCCTAGGATCCCCGTTCAGTAAGCTAGTTGCATACTGTAACTTATTCCCGAATGGGTCCGTGAGACCGCCCTACATGCTCCACCCAGTCACATAACCTATCTGCTGCGGTAGTACCGGTATCTCTGGTGGTTCGCTAGGTGTCCCCATACCCCATGCTTTACCACGCTATGCATGCTTTTCCATCTCCTTCTTTCCTCCCCAATTGCAACTCGTTTTCCACCATTCTGCTTCTCCCAGGATAGCAAAACCGGGCCACTCCCTGCTCTTCAGCAGATTTCTTCTCCCTCAGGCTTACGCGGGTCTGTACGTAGGCACGCACATCAAACCCCAGTACCTGTATGCAGTAGGCTGTAGCTGTGCTGATTCCTCATGGGCCGACAGGCGATTTCTAGCTTTCCCGCCTCAAGGTCTCAGTGAGGCTTTTTTTTTTTTTAAATCTCCTGCTTCATTCCATTGATTACAGGCCTCCTTGCTGTCGTAATGTCGATGTAAGAAATGGTTGGGAAGGGAAGGGGAAAAGGAAAAAGAAAAAAAGCCCCCCGTTGCATTGTTTCATGAGATATTGCAGTAACACAAGATCGGGTTGGTTAGGAGGTGGGCGAAGGCGGAGGAGGGGAAGCTGATCCGCACCCTTTCGATCCGTCGCGCACCCCAGATTTTCGCTAAATTTGCAGCTTGAGGTAAAGAGCACACGACACCCAAAGGCAATCAAGCCTTTCGCTACGAGCACGGCGTTTGGAACATCGCGTACGAATTAGTTAAGGGAACGGGGTAAAAAAAACGCGACTCGACCCGTCCGGAGCCAAAGGGGGAGTTGAGTGGCTATTATTCCGGTGCTCCGCCACCCTCCACGCCATCCTCACGGCACTCTTCCAAGTACGGTACCGTATGGTAGCCCAACAGATCTTCCGACACGCTTACTGTACGGTACTGTACGTCTGCAGACCGTCTCGACAGCACCGCCCCCAGAGGTAACAGGCTGGCACTTGGTTGATTTGGTTTCGAGCCGGACAGAACACCAGGATGATCCCACATGGCGCGACCCACAACAGCACCGCACGCTCCCCCGGCCCTGGGTTGGGAAAATTCCGAGCCAGGATCCCATCCATCACGTGTACCTTACGAGTATCTACGAGTACCGTACTCGTACTGTGCCCGTACTATACTCGTTAAGCTCAGCACCGGATGGAGAATTACTTGTACGATTGGACATATTGATCCGTTCCCGGAGTCTTGATTCCTTCTGCACCCGTGCGCTAGCAGCCGCTTCCCGAATACCGGTACCAGTGCTCCCTGCCGTGGGGCTTCAGGAACTTGGCGATCCATCCTGCGGCTCGATTACGTAAGCTTGGCAATACGAGCCTTCAACCGAGTTGCCATATGCCCTGTGTCGTAGGCCAGGTGTACGAGTACTGTACTCGTACAATACCGACAGCACAATGTTCCTCAGTAAAAGTAAGGTGTCTTTCGCTCAGTCATTTTTCCCCAGGTGCGGGTCTCTATCAAAGGTGTGTTATATAATACGTACTATCAGCCAGCGGTGACCTGACTTGTGACTTCCAGCATGAACAGTCCGAGTGATACCGCTAACTTGAACTCGATTCTTCACATGTCTATTGACCGTAGCGAAATACTAATTTACCACTTGCACCATACTCATCCGGGTTCTCTTTCGCTTCAGTGCTAAGATGAGCGCGGTGGAGCTCGCATGAGTGATATGTTAGTATTAATACTTTGGGCGCGTAATCCTTTAGTAATTGTCCTTAATCACCGGATGACCCGCAAAATGTACTTCTACTGGTACGAGTACTGTGCACAGCAACCAACTGGCGCCCGAATTCCCCCGATTTCAACTTCCGTGCCTACCTAATAGGGTCATGCACAGTATACCCGATTCGATTTTCGGTATTTGGCCAATATCATTCCGTCGGAGTGTCCCGCCAGGAAAACCGCATCCCAGGCCTCACCTCTCGTTTGTAGGTCCTATGGCTCACCCTCATGAGATAGCCATCTGACAATGTGAATTTCTTCGACGACTCGTTATTTGACCAGTCACCCCACGCGCGTGGGGTTGTGATGGCGTCCTGACCAAACCGTGTGAGCATACCGGTAGCGCACCACATGGTGACCAAGTTTTTCCGATACCCCACCAACTGACAAACGAGCATCACCCGAAGACCTTGGCTCGCGCTCCATTGGTCATAACAGTGAAATTCTCTCCGACAAAGGGAATACGTACTGAAGGAATTTATCGGTCTTCGGCAGGCTCCATCACAGAATCTTCTGACTCGGTTCTCAAACCCTTAGCCCCGTGCGGGGGTTAAGATAAGCTTAAGGTGACAGCTCTGGCTTTCGGGGATGAAGGGTGGCGGGGGCGGGGAAGATTTGCCACCTCTAAAGTACGGTATAATACTGGAAACGGGATGTTGCGGATACCCAACGACGTAACCCCGACGAGGAAGATGAAGCGTGCCTGCATTGCACGGTACGACGGTATTGTGCGGGGTAGGCCGGGCCCACTCTCTACACCGCGGTGTGCTTCAACTGTCGCATCATTTATGGTTTCACCCACCATCAGGCAAAGCAAACCTGCACGAGGAAAGTCCACCCTATTAACAATAACTGCCACTCACGACATCCCAATCAGCGTACTCCAGGCGCTGTATTCCATCGCTAATGCCCTTTTGTCCCGTTATGTAATCTCCTTTTTATGTGGCACAAGGGTTAGGTAAAATCCTGCCACAAGAACTGGAATGCCAATAATTGGGGACCCCGCTGGGACGTTGGAATTGCCTCTCCTGGCAAGGCCCTTTGTATTTTTATTTTTGCTGGTCTCAGTCGCGGGCTGGAAGACAATCTCTCCGCTGTGTCTTCTCCTTCAATGTACCTGGTAAAGGGGGGAAATTCTGGGCGCCCAAACACCATTCCCAATTGTGCCAGGTCTTACCGTAGGCATGGGTAACCCGGGGGCGGCTAAGGCTGATACTGTCATGATACAAAACAAACTCAAGCCGGTATACATGTACCGGGTACGACATCTCACATCTCGTCAGCATGTATCCGATTTGTTCCGTCCATCGCCAAGACGTGTGAGATGCCATGATGGGGTATTGGGTTAAGCTCACTCACTGGGTGCGCGGGGAAGCTGATTCGGCAGTAATCCGCCAGATCTCTGGTAACCGATCTAACCTGCAGGGCACAAATTACATCAGCCTCGGTGTACTGTACGTGTGATGGAAATGCGGGGTCGATAAGATCGGACTATCCCTCTTACCTCGGTAGCTGTAAGAGGTCGCAGCGCATCCTATGAGGCGGGGTACTAAAGGGACGCCGAGCCCCCGGTGGGGATGGAGAAGAGCTTGTATGTCGGTAGACTAGAGTAAATTTTGTTGGAATGTGTGATGGAAACGGCTCACGGGTAGGCATTGTAGGCATTCGGGATGGTTGTTTCGGCGAGAGTAGGAAGGCGCAACAGAATACAGGTATATTCGGTTCTAGCACCCCATGCAGTCACCGGGAATCACTCTCAAGTGGGAAGGGGATGGTAAAAGCTTGGGTAATAGACGGCCACTCCCCCGCGGCAGCGATCAGTTTGCGGTTGTGAGCCATGAGCGAACTGATTCCATGCCCCCGCTCTTGGATGTACGGGGGAACGCAGCATGTGCCTGCCCGAGATCATCCGTACGGCATTGGAGTAGGGAATATACAAGTATCATACGCTGCATTGCGTGGCAGTTAGAAGCAAGGGTGAAGGAAAGGGGATAGGGGCCGTGTGGGTTCAATACCCTATCTCTAACTCGGAAGAGAGCCCCAAGGCTATGTATACCCAACAGAGAAGGGCTAACTCTAACAACCACGTGACTTTGCTTACGAGTCTTTGTCTTAGTCCGCTTCATCACTAATCATCACAAAATTATGATAGGACGACTCTTCTAGAATGCATAAGATTTCTAGGCCCGATGTGCACAGGACTCATACCGGCACCGTCCAGGTCTTTATTTCATTTCGCGGGGTGTTCCCACCCTCCAGGGGTATACGCATATTGGCCACACTAGCTCACTCGGCCCACGTCTCGTTTTGCCCGTAGTTGGCTTTAGCAGTGAACATTCGCAGGTGGACCCAAGTATTTGGTGATGAATTTGTAAACCCTATTTATCCCCTCGATTGCTATCTTGCTCAGCATGGGACGTGTGAATTGTCTTCTGGGCTAAACTAGCCGCATCCCCAGAAGTGAAAAGCATAAGTGGAGCATCATGGCAAAAGAATCGATTGAGGGATGGTCCGATCGCCCGATATATAAGGGTACGGAGCCGGAATCTCCCACTACCCGAATACAGACTTTCACTTGAGAGCTAGAAATGGGCTAGAGTTCTATGTGTGTGTGGGGTGGGGGGGGGGGGGTCGGGAGCGGACGAGTCCTCCTGGCTACGAAGAACCCCGTTGTCAGTTGGACACTTCCGTGACCCCACTCGACCTCCCCAAGCCCCTACCATTCATCCCCGGCCATCTCTAATACTTTTCACCCACACTTTTGCTTCTATGTTTCCCCTCCTTCTTTCTTTCCACATACACCTAAATATGTAGAGTATGCACGTGGTGGAGTGAGGGGGGGCTCGCTCACCGGAGGTATCGGCGCCCCTGCTCTTCACAACCCATCGGGCACCTCTCTGATAGGGTGCTGAACATGAATGGACTATCACGCACTGCAGCACTGGACAAACATGGATATGTTTGCCATAGACACTTACGCACGCTAGCGTTGAAAATCGTTCCATCCCCCTCCTAACACGCTCGATCCCCCGCTCTGTGTATCGCATGGCACCGTGTTCCCTTCAGCGACTCTTTCACTTGGACGAACTTCACTCCGTGAAACCTTCGTTCTGATCATTTCCTGTTCTCTCCTATTTTTCAACTCTGGGCCGTACTGCTAAGTCGAGTGATAGCCGATGCCTAATATCTACACCCTATTTACAAACCTGGCTACTCCCTAAAGTGAATCGTCCGTCATGGAACGTAAAAACCACCGCAGGTTTAGAAAACCGCCGGAGCAAATACTGTTCACCGTTTCATCGAAACATTTCAGATACGGCTCCCCCGATTTCTGTCCTATTTGGCGAATGCTGGGCTGTGGTTATAGCACTCAGACGCGGGGCATGCAGAAGCACAATAGTGTGATATGATGAAGTTGAAGTTGCAAATACTTGGTATGGTCTGACAGAGGTAGGGTTTGTTGTGTGGTAGGTATTTTAGGGCACTATCCAGGTCGCCCCCCCCCCACCCACCACCACCACACAAAA